TAATGTGTTGTAAGAAAAAATTTTGTTTTCAACTCATTCATTTTTATTGTGATTTACTCATATAAATTAAAACATTAATTGCACTATAATATTTAATTTTACTTTTTTTTTTCTAGTCTGAAAAAACAGAAAAAGGACCCACCTTGAGGAGGGGGAAGGGGAGTAGGAGCTTGTAGCATATTGCATATAGCCTAATATTGTTATTGAAAATAATAATAATACTATTCTCACTTTTTATTTAGCAAAAAAAAAAATATATATATATATATATATATACCATAGTTACTTGCCTTCATCACTTTTCGAAAAGTCTACAACTTTGAAATGTAGGTACACCGATAACATCTTTCTTATTTGGTGTTGTTTTTGATATCACCAGGAACTGTCATATTAGACTCATTTAAGCAAAGTAAATCTTAAATTATTGTAAGGAAACTCATCTATGTCTCCAAAAGCAACGATAACTCTCCACCAACAGATAGTGCCGGTCAACTCAGGAATTCAAATTTTAAAGTAATATCCACAAGGATACAGTCGGTATTTAAGAAACAGGGTAAAAAACATGAAACAAATTTTATTCTTGTTAATGTCTTATCCTCCAAATTCTATTGGGCTCACGCCATGGTGGGTCCTGCCCAAAGTAGACCCAAAATTGCGAACTAAACCCAGAATTACATACAAGACCCAATTTAAGAATGCAGGCTAGTCCCATTGCGGAAAGAAAGAAGTTAAGTCAACTGTGTCATCTTGACAGCGAGTTAGGTTAGTCGTCTCATGGCGAGAGACTCAATTCATAACTGATAGGAGAGGAGATCTCTTTGTGACGTGCATGTTGCCACTTGCACAAAATTATCTCACTTGTTATGAGAAGGGCCCCACCTCTGTCAAATTACCTCATTTGATACAAGAAAGACGCCTCAATCTATTCGAAAACACTTATAAATTATAAGTCCTATCTGCCCAAGGGGGTAGTTTACACATATCACTTATAATTGAGTATTCTACGTGCCTTGAAACAATAAAGCATTTAAGTCATCCTAACCCTTCACAGTAGAGTAGGTCACCTTGATTGAACAATTTAAATTGTGTATTACTTGTGTTGACTTTCCTCAGTTATTACTACATTAAATACTTAACAGGTGGTATATAAACATATTTTGTGCATCAACAAATATGGTTATGAATTGAACTAATTAAAATTAAATGGGTAAAATATATTTTTGGTTCCCCAAATATGCGTTTAGTGTCTATTTGGTCCATAATCTGTTAATTGCGTCTATTTGATTTCTAAGGTTCCTAATTTATATCTATATGGTCTAATCTCAAACGTCCATAAAAAAATTATTAACAACTTTAGTCACGTGTCAATCATGTGGGACCAGATAAACACAAATTAAGAATTTTAGAGATCAAATAGACAAAAAATTAGGAATCAAGTGATTGACATATGACAAGAACCGTCACGATTTATTGACAAACGTTTGAAATTGAACCACGTAAATACAAATTAGAAACATTAGAGACCAAATAGATACTAAACACATACTTTGAAAATAAAAAATATATTTTATCCAAACTAAATTTATACCAAATAATTTTGTATCAAGTTCACACATCGTGTAAAACATTATGAACCTCGCAACGAAAAGTCATACATACAACTCCCTATCTTGTTTTAAAATGAAATTCAAATTCCTGATGTAGAATCCAATTGTTTTATTTTTAGATGTGACATGGGATTGCCTTGTCTTCGGACAATTCCAAACCATCACTAGGTTACAACTGCATAACACATGAGACCACTAAAGTTTATCACTAGTGCTTGTCCCCTTCATGAGTCATTATCCTCTTGTCTTAGTGCCTAACTTTACCACTTTTTTTTTTTTAAGTTTGTCAGAAGCCACCTTCATATTAGCCACACATAACAACTCTCTAAACCTTAATAGATAAATAAATTGGTCAAAAATCTACTCAACATAAGATACTGGGTGAAGTCTCATCTTGGATCCTTTCGACAAACTTATTATGATAGTTTTCTAGTTCATACAAGATGAACATATGTCTGGAAGAATTAATCGGGTGCTCAAACATGCTGGTCTACCTCTTCGTGAAAAACCAAAAACAAAAACAAGAAACCTCCAAGTACACGCAAAATTTCCACTTCAATTTCATATAATTTTATGGGTCTTTCATGCTGGGTAAAGTCTCATCTTGGATCATTCCAACAAATTTATTTGTGCGTGGTGATTTTCACATAATAAAAGAATGAACAGATCTTTCCTTTGATAAACTCGAGATTTATCTAGGAAGTTGACGATCCCGTGGCAAACAGAGGTGAGAAATAGTATAAGGAGTGATGATGAACTACTTCTCCAGCAGTCCGCGCAATTCCAACGTATCAAGGTGGATTCTGCCACTTAGAAAGAAAGGTTAGAAAGGTGCCGAAGTGTTTAAATTAATATGTGAGAGAGAGAAAAAAAACATTGTTCTATTGTCAGAATATAATTTGTGTAACTTTGTTTTACATTTGTGAGAGCTATTTATATTACCAATGATGTAATCATTGCGGACTTCCAGGCTCCTCGGAGGGAAGGAATCCCATTGGCCCATTTGGAAGGCAGGTGGTGCTCAGTCTTTGAGCAGAGTGCCTTCCAATTTGCGTGGAAGAAGTTTATGCATTGAATGTTCAGCCTCTCGAGCACTTAATACTCTTTCTTCGAGGCTCTCCAAATAATAAATGTCTTATCCTTTTGATGGATCATTTATTATCCTTCATTGTGGTTGTGCATGTGCTAGGGCATTTGCGTCATTTGCCCCTCTAGGAGGTCATGTCATATGTTCTTCGTACTTCATGGAGTTTCTTTATTGATCACCAAATTGCCTACTTTTGTCATTCTGACTATCTTGGAAAGAGAGTTTGATGATTAAAAATCACGTCTACCTCTAATATGGTGATGTCATTCTTGACTTTTTTAAGAACTCAACTATTTTTTATAACCCAAGTCTCAAGGTGGACGCTAATACTTCGGCGGAGTGGAAGACTCGACGCCAAGGACACGTGTAAGGTGGAGGTCTCCTCGGAGAATTTTGGGAGCCGACGAAGGGTGTCCCGTGATAAAGACTCTGGGGTGCACTGGCGCTGGAGACACGTTCATGTAGAGAGTGCTCTTCAGACAAAATATCAAGGACTCCGCAAACAAAGTATCGAGAATTTTGCAGAGAACATATCGAGGACTCTGTGGACATTCGAAGAACACTCCACAGACAAGATACCGAGGATAAGATGCCGAGAACATGTGTCGTTCAAAAAATACTCCACGATCAATACGCCAAGGACACATATCGCGTCCCCCCTTGATCACAAAAAATGAACCATCATTATTATAATAGTTTTCTAGTTCATACAAGATGAAAGTACGTTTAAAAAGATTAATAAGGTGCTCAAACATGCCGATAAAAAACAAAAAAAATTAAAACAATAAACCTCAATTTCCACTTCAACTTCATGGTCTTTCATGTGTTTGTTTATACTCACCTCACTAGTGCAATATGCTAAAATTAGCTGAATATAGGTAAACTACATAGGCCGACACTGAATAATTAAATATGGTAGAAATGTTGCAAAAGAATGGCCACAAAGCAACAAAAATGTAAACCCCCCCCCCCCCAAAAAAAAAAAAAAACTAAAAACAAAAAAACCACTAAGCAAGCATTGTCTGGACCGACAACAAAACTTAAAGACAAGAACTTATCATTCATAACAAAGTGCCAATTTCTTGTCTTTCTCACAAAGTCCTAAGTGAATTAATACCCAAAAAGCATCATTGTTTAGTCCATTAAGCTTTCACTTTCCAACGTTTTCGTGATGTACACGTGAATATGTCCATAAATAAGACTGTAAACGATTCGAACAAGTTTGACTTGATGTTTACCGTCATGTAATGTGTGCTGTGGACAAGAAAGTGGAAGCAATATTAAATGTAACATTAACGATGCAGACAAAAAATTTCAACGTGAAATGTGAAAATTTTTCCACACAAAAGAACTAATTCAAAAAAAAAAAAAGAATCATCGGCTTGTTAGTATTGCAAGTATGAAAAGTATGATCACTGAACTGTTGTTGATATACCTCATATTTCTCATTTTGATTAACAAAAAAGTATCTTAATTAAGTGTCATTTAGAATTGCGATTGCTACGTGAATTTGAGATACGTATAATCACTCGCAAAACACTCGCCTCAGGTTAATTAACACATCACTTGCGAACTCAAATTCGGAAACTCATATTAATTAGTCGTTCCTTATCACTCATTTTCTTTGTTATTATTTCAAGATGGATATTTGCTAAAAATTTCTTGAAAGTGATTTTTAGTAAATACTCCCGCATTTACTCCCAAAATAATGTCATTGTAAACATATTTTCTAAATCAATATTGTTTCTATGAAAGTGTGTTTCAAATCCACATTTTGTAGTGTGAAAGAGTGTTCGGAAACATGTTGTCAATCGAAACGTTTTAAAAAATATATTTATCTTAAAAAGAGTGTGTTTACACCTTTTGTTATAAAAATAATGCTAATTTGGTAGAGAATTAGATTTAATAGAGATGATTAGCAAAGATTAGTGGTGGGTCGCCTGAGGTCAAAAAAATAATATAAAAAAAAATACTATATTGTAAACTAAACTTTAGGTTATGGGGTTGGGATACTTCAAGGACTCCCACCTAAAACTCCACAAATAAATGCTTTATCTACTTTTGGCCTTTTCTACACAATCTTCTTGTATTTTTTTGTTCTTATGTGAGGAGATAGTACCAAGTGGATGGTCTATGCCTTTGAAAAGAAAACAAACAGGTTTTGGAGTCACTTGATAAATGCTACCTTGCAATGCTCACTATCACCCACTAAGAAACAAAGATGGGTGTTGTTTTGTTCTGGTGATACACTCTTGGAATTTTGTAGTGATGAAGAATAATACCAAGGTTGGCCAGCTCTGATTCCCATCCACCAAGTATAATGACAAACACCTTTTGAGAGTGAGAGAGAGAGAGAGAGAGAGGGGTCTGGATTGTTACAAATTCCATATTCCTTTGAATGCCCCAAAGGACAACAAAACAGTGAGGACAAGAACAACCACTTGATTTGTCACCTACGCAGCCATGGAAAAGTCCTTCAAGACAAGCGCTTTAATTCTAATTGACCCAATATGCAACCAAACCCTAGAACCTGAGAAACCCTGGGTAGTTCTGAAACCACTTTGATGGTTTAGGTAGGAGAATTGGCTTGAGCAAGCTTGGCAACTTCATAGGGCTTTTTCTGAGTTTTTGATCAATTGCATAACCCAGTTTCTGAATTTGAATTTAAAGATGACTTTGATGGGTAATTCAAGGAGCTGCTTCTGAACTGTCGCTGGTAATTTTCTTGTTCTTTGTCTGTGTTTCACTCTGCTGGTAAATAATTTTGTTCAATTCATGAAACTAATTCAGACCCTGTTGTTCGTATGTTCTTCTGATGTATGTTTGTTTAATTTTCACTGGATGCATATAGTTTTCAAAAGGTCTAATATGCCTTGAGAATGCTGGTTTTTATTTATTTTGGTTAACTGCTACCCAATTAACCCGATTTCATTGCTGGAAAATAATGGACAAGTGAAACAATCAAATTCTGAATCTTAAGTTTTCCTCTGATTTTATGTAACACACGGAAAGGGCTATTATACTGAGTGGAAATTCTGCTAAGGTGAAGGGGAATTTGGATTTCTTTTGTTTAGCTGCTGAGATAATGTAGGAAAAGGAAAGATCAGAGATTGCGAATCCAAATGATTTTCGTTACTTGCTATTAAAAGGAGGTTTTCTACCATAGAACTCTTTTGTTTCTCGGGACTCAGAAGATTATAATCTATTACGTGAAAATTTGGCATAGTTGAGATGAGCTCGCTATTGTTACTCACTTACCCCAAACTTTATTACTTTTGATATTCAAAAGAATTTCCTTTTTCGGAAATTTTCCTCTGTTTTCATGTTTCCATACAGTTTCTGCTTACCATTTTGGTTCACCAGTTCTCTTGGCAATTAAATGTGCACTTAAAGGTATTGTTGCACAGTAGATTCAACCTGTTTGGGTAAGTCTAATCCTCCCTATATTGGAACGTTTCAGGCCTCACGTTTGGGCACTTGTTGGTCAATCGTGCTGTTAATGGCTGGAATGATTCAAGAGGAGGCATCGTGTGTGACTTCATCGCCCCTGCAATTCTTCTCCCTGACGTCACTTTCACCTGCTTTAGGATCACCATATCCATGGATCAGGGAGATGAAATCTGAGGAGCGAGGGTTGTGCCTAATCCATCTTCTTGCAGCCTGTGCTAACCATGTTGCTGCCGGAAGTGTTGAGAATGCCAACATATGCCTCGAGCATATTTCCCATCTTGCCTCTTCTGATGGTGATACCATGCAGAGAATCGCTGCTTACTTCACTGAGGCACTCGCAGACCGGATGCTTAAAGGCTGGCCTGGTTTGCATAAGGCCCTCAATTCCACCAAAATATCATGTGTCTCCGAGGAAATTCTAGTTCAGAGATTGTTTTTTGAACTCTGTCCCTTTTTAAGAGTCTCGTATGTGATCACGAACCAGGCGATTCTTGAAGCCATGGAAGGGGAGAAGGTGGTTCATATTATTGATCTCAATTCTTTTGAGCCTGCCCAGTGGATTAATCTTCTTCAGGCATTACGCGCACGACCTGAAGGACCACCTCATTTAAGAATTACTGGTATTCATGAACAGAAAGAGGTATTGGACCAAATGGCTCATCTGTTGAATGAAGAAGCTGAAAAATTGGACATCCCATTTCAATTTAATCCCATAGTCAGCAGATTGGAGAATGTTGTCATTGAAAGTTTGCGTGTCAAGACAGGAGAAGCTCTTGCCATCAGCTCTGTACTTCAACTACATTCTCTGTTGGCGTTTGATGATGAGATTCTCCGAAAGAACTCCCCCTTGGCATCCAAGAATTCAAATTCAGTTCACTTGCAGAGAATCTTGCAAATAAATCCACGCACCCTAGGAGATTTTCTCCAGAAAGATATGTCTAATACATATAGCCCAAGCCCTGATTCAGCATCTTCCTCTCCATTGGCCACTTCACCAAAGATGGCTAGCTTTCTAAGTGCCCTTTGGGGTCTTTCGCCAAAGCTAATGGTGGTAACCGAGCAAGAATCAAACCATAATGGGTTTAGTCTGATGGAGAGAATAAACGAAGCACTGAACTTTTATGCAGCACTGTTCGATTGCTTGGAGTCTACTATACCAAGGGCATCAATAGAGCGTCAAAAAATTGAGAAGATGATTTTTGGAGAGGAAATTAAGAATATCATAGCGTGTGAGGGACCTGAAAGAAAGGAGAGGCATGAGAAGCTTGAGAAGTGGATTCCAAGGCTTGAGTTGGCTGGATTTGGGCATGTTCCTTTTAGCTACATCGGTATGTTAGAGGCGAGGAGGTTGTTGCAGAGGTATGATGGATATAAGATGAAAGAAGAGAGTGGTTGTTTAGTCATTTGCTGGCATGATCAACCCCTTTTTTCGATTTCAGCCTGGAGATTTAGAAGGTACAGTTGACACTGTTATCATGCTGCAGTTTACAGTTTCTCTTCATTTTTTTTTCTGCTATCTGTATAAAGATTGCAAGTTTCTTTGCCCCTCCTGCAAACGTGAACTGTTCTGTGGAGAGCATTGATGATCTACATAATCTGTTCTTCATGTTTATTTTTTTCATTTGTTTGCAAGTTTATGTTTCATTCAATATAAATTGATTAGTAGGTACAGTGCCATTATTTTTGAAGATTCATGGATCTTGAGCTCTCTCTCTCTCTCTCTCTCTCACACACACACACCCTTTTGTAACAAACCTCTCTGGAGTGTTCTCCATTGTAGAGGGCTCCTTACAGATTTGATTTGTTTTGTTATCTGCATAGGAGCTTGGATACAGTACAGTCAAAGCTTGCTTGTTACTTGTTTATGAATGGGAACAACACTATTGTTTGGTACTTGCACAGTTTTTTTCTCATTAATAAATGGTATTTTGAGAGCATGCCTTTATTTCTTGCTCAAACAAGACTACCACCTTTACCTTTGCCTGCATTACTCTCACCATACAAAGATGAATTGCCCAGAAGATTATGGTGTGGCACCAGCCCTTGTTATTAGGAGTGTGTGACAACAGTAGAATAGAAACACAAATATCCAAGTGCCAAGGGACTACTTTGGTAAATTACTTCTCCATTCTCTCTCTCCCTCCCTCTCTCGATTTGGAACAATAAGAATTTTCATCTCTCTAAAAAACTTCAGGAAGCCATGACCTTATAACCACAGTACTAAATCTAGTGAAAGATGTGGTAGTCATTCCAATTGAACTACAACCACTTACAAATCAACCAAAACAAAGCTTTAAACCAGCTATTTAGTAATGTTGCACATACACATTGTACTCAACCGTGGCATCCCCCATCTTGCGATCAAACGAAATCGAATGTGCCACCGCGTAGCCCCGGGCTAACCGGAACAGCCCACAGCCACCAACAATCGGCATTTCTCTCGCATCATTCAGCACAGGGTTCCTCCCAAGAATGCTAATGCTGCTCCCGTTATACTTCCCCCCAATGAATGCATAATTGACAACCATAAGCAATGCTGTATCATGCTGTGCTGCCAGAGAGTACAGTCCTTGTGCTCGTCCGATGAGCCTCGAGGTCGGGTTCGGCCCCTCAGTCAGTGCATCATCCATGATAAAAGTAGCTCCAAATCCTGTAGTATCTGATGTTCCAGCAATTCGCACTGCACTTGGATCATTGCCACTGACAATGTCGTGGAGGTAAAAATGGAGATGGGTTGTTTTCTCCATTCGATTCATTAGAATGTTCTCGGAGAGTTCCTCGGAGAAAGCTCCGTCAGAGTTGCCAATGAATGTTGGGATTAAAAGTATGAAGGTGAAGAGTGTGCAGTTGAGGAAAGAAGCCATGTTGGGCAGAAATTTCTTGTCTATGTTGATCAGAAATGAACAGATCAGTCATTTAAAGGGGTTAGGCCAAGGGGAAGTTTGATGTGTTTGTGCCTTTACTTGTGTGACTAAAGCTTAAAATGAATATGTAGATCATATATCTGTTAGAGAACATTATTTTTCAGTACCATAAAATTATTTGTAGAAGGTTCCACTTTACTTCAACACCACATAAACTATATGTAAGGGACCTCACCGCACTATGTCGGGATTGAAGTTAATATTTTATCGTGAGCTCTAAACGTAATTATTGGGATTCGAACCTAAAAATTTTCCAAGTGTTGGCGTGGTTGACCTTTTTGTGAGGAAATTATTGCTTTGTGCTTTAGCCTCTTATGCATGACATTATAGGCTTTGGGGAAACTTTGCTTTCCTTTGAAGTTATGGCAAAATTGATGCTCCCACTCCTTTGCCATCATTTCCTGAAATCATAGCTTTGATACAATTATTAATCATAGTCCTTATACAAAGGGGCAGACCCAAGATTATATGCCATGAGTGGCAAGTTAGAGTTGTCTCTTACATATCCCCTGGCGCCCCACTCCTCCTCTCCGGCAGATAATCCCTTCCTCCGAGCTTAAGTTCAATACGGGAATAATAATTTTTTCTTTGTTTTGGGCTAGGGAATAGAGGCATGTTGCTAGCGATCCTACTTCAATAGGTTGTCAAACACATCAACTTTGTTTTTGTTTTGGACTTTAATTATAAATCTCATAAATATCTCTAAACTATAACATTTATTTTAAATTGTAAGAGGTTTAAATTCCCTTCCTTGAAAACTTTGCTATCCCCTCGTAAGATCAAGATTCCTACAAAACAAACAAAATATCTAAGATCGAAGTGTTTCGATCGAAAGCACTCTGATGCTTAAGTCAGTAAATGAAAGAAAGAGAATTCAACAGCGTATCGGAAGGGTCTTGTGTCTCTTTACTATTCTCCTTTCCAGGTTTATATAGACTTCAACTGCCTTATCGTTTTGGAGAAGATTACTCATTCCCCTATGATTTGGCATTATCTATTAGTTCCCTCAGGATTTTCCGAACGCTCCCTTGATTACAACTTAGATTGGTACAATCAGATCCCTTGAATTTAGGCTACAATCATGTCGTTCAGTTCTTATCTTACTCGCTGAGGAGTTTCTGGTCGGCTCTTCTGCCGACTTGGTCAATTCAACTCGGGCATTACAGGGCTTAAACCCCCACATGACCCTTGTGTGATCATTTACACGTGGCATAACTTTTATGCCCCTTCACTTGCACCCATGAAGGGAATGTTAGCCATCATTTGTCTAACAATCGCTTCGTGTGCTTCAGGTTCATGATTGTCTGGGTTTTCGAGACACACAACTGTCTCTTCTCATTGAATGCTCGTACTTTGGCCTCTTGACTTCCTTCTTTTCTTAATATAAAAATGTTTTAATTTTATTTCTTTTGTACGTTTGCCTCTCATCTTCTTCTTCACTTTGTTTCCCTCGAAGTTCCTCTACTGTCATTATTTCTGCATCCATCTCCAAATGGCTCCCCTTACTACTGAAGGCATTCCAGCATTCAAAAGCAAATATGGTATCCCTAATGATGTCGATGTTCGGTTGTGGGTAATGATGAACCATTAATCGGAACTAGGGAATCAATCCCTATTCACACGAGGGCCATCACCGAAGGTGGGGTGAGATTCCCATTGCATCTCTTACTGCTTTGGGTCCTTGTAGCTACAAAACTTTCCCCCCTCCAGTGTTGCCCTAACTTTTTCAGGATTGTTATGGGGGTTGCAGCTTTGAACAATCTTTTGAATGTCAACTTGGGCCTCTGGGAGATTCTTTTCTACTGCATTCTAAAGACTGTCGGTGACAGTTATTACTTGGCAGTGAGGAGGAAAGACATATACTTAGTCACCCACCTCCCAAATTCGAATAAAGGTCACAAAAACGATATCATATTCGTCTCTAGGAACTGGGAATAAAAAGCTTGAGAGACGTCTTCTTATCGATGCTCTTATGAAGAAGGTGCACCAGGTACATGATAATTTGCGTCTAAATTTTTTATTATTATTATTTTTTTTTTTGCAAATACTTTATAGTCTCATGTTTTTACATCTAAGAGAAACTGTTAAAGATAAAATTGCTAAGAGCTCAGTAAAAATGGAGGACCTAAGGAAGGTGTGGTCTTATAATGAGAACCTTTTTTGCCGAGTTGCTCATGTTTTATTAGGGTATACTCCTACATACCTTTCATTTATTGTTGTACTTGATCGGGCCAATGCAACTATTGCCGAAGACCGAGCCGAACTTCAAGCTCAGCGTGCCATTACACCTCGTGCACGTCACAAAACGAATGCTCTTTCTAGGCGGAGTAGACCAGTTAAGAACTTCCTTAGTCTTCTTTATGCTAGTGAACCTGGCGAAGCTACCTCTTTGGTGCTGCCAGTTCACATCGAAGTAACTTCTCAACCTACCTAACTGATCGATCTCACTCTTGGCCCTGATCATGCCCCCAATCCCGACGATCTTCCAGTAATCATTGAAGCTCTTGTTTCTTCTATAGTTAGTCATCCTGCTGAATCAGAACCTGAAGTCCCAGTAGTTAATCCCCTCATTGTCACTTTGATTCCTTCTTCTGAGCCTCTTGTTGATGAAAATGAAGATCATGTCATAGCTTCTTCTCCTCGGTCCATTGGTACCGAGCCCGAGGAGCAACTGTCAAAAAGGAGACGACTTAAATCTCCTGAAAGATTAAGAAATGCCTTTCGCCCCATACTTCAGGCAAAGGGTAAGGAGATCACTATTCGGGACTCCACCGACAAGGACATGAATGTGGCAGTAGGAATTTCTAGGGGCGTGATTTTTCCTTGTGACCTTGCAATGAATGAAGCAGCTTCCGATGACGAGATTGCTCGGCAAGCTATTCAACAAATGGTTCCGGTATTTTTCTCGATTTCCTTCACTTCTAAGTTCTCTTTATCCAACTTCATTCTGTATATTGAGATGTTTTGTTTCAAAAAGGGGTTGCAAAAGGTGCATGAGGTGAGTGCCAAAATTGCAAGGAAGGATGGAGCAATGAAAGAGGCAATTCATGACCGCATGTCTGTCCTAGGGAAGAAAGAATCCGTTGATAAAGAATATGCCAAGCTTTGCAAAGAGACGTTTTTCCTTCAGGCTCAATCCCTTAGCTTAAAAGAGGAAAATGATAAGTTGGCTAAAGAAGTGGAGGTTCTGAAGGCTTCTGAGAGTTCTCATTGTCTGGATCTATCACAAACTCAACTTGAACATTCCTCTTTACTGGAGGAATTTGACAAGTTCAAGGCTGAGGTGAAGAGTCTTGAAGATGCCGCCTTTAATCAAGGGATGGAGAAAACTGAAAGTGACCTTGTTCTGCAAATCCCTACACTGGAAAAAACGTATTTTGCAAAAGGCTGGGCTGCTGCTTTAAAGGCTGCCAACATCCCTCCCTCATCTAAATTGTACTCACGTCATTCGACCCTTTCTGCTTTCTAACAAACTCATGTAAAAAGGAACACCTTTTGACAATCATTAATGATCAATTTTCTTTTGTTCATCTCTATTGCGTTAACGTTAGAAAGACTCAACTTTTAACAATTTTGGCCTTGCTCGGCCCTTTTTTAAAGCTAGGTCCCAACACTTCTGTTAAGGACTCATTTTAACTTAGAAAAAAATATTGCTCAAAAGTTTTGGCCTTACTCGGCCCATCTTTAGAGCTAGGTCCCAGCACTCCTACTAGGGATATATTTTAACTTAGAAAAAAATATTGCTCAAAAGTTTTGGCTTGCTCGATCCTTCTTTAGAGCTAGGTCCCAGCACTCCTTCTAGAGACACATGTCAACTTAGAAAAAATATTGCTCAAAATTTTTGGCTTGGCTCGGCCCTTCTTTAGAGCTAAGTCTCAGCACTTCTGCTAGAGACACATTTTAACTTAGAAAAAATGTTGCTCAATAGTTTTGGCCTGACTCGACCCTTCTTTAGAGCTAGGTTCTAGCACTCTTGCTAGGGACACATTTTAACTTTAGAAAAAAAATTGCTCAAAAGTTTTGGCCTTGCTCTACCCTTCTTTAGAGCTAGGTCCTAGCACTTTTGCTGGGGACACATTTTAACTTAGAATAAACATTGCTTAAAAGTTTTAGCCTGGCTCGGCCCTTCTTTAGAGCTAAGTCCCAGCACTCCTGTTAGGAACACATTTTAACTTTAGAAAAAGCATTACTCAAAAATTTTGGCCTTGCTTAGCCATTCTTTAGAGTTAGGTCCCAGCACTTCTGCTAGGGACACAATTTAACTTAGAAAAAATATTGCTCAAAAGTTTTGGCTTTGCTCGGCCCTTCTTTAGAGCTAGGTCCTAGCACTCTTGCTAGGGACACATTTTAACTACGAAGTTTTCCAAATAATCTGATCCTTAGAGATCACTGATTTTGCAAGTTATTCCGTTTGCACTGACTTTCCAATCTAATCAGGCTTAGACCTCTACCTTTTTGGTTTACATCGTCATGCCTAACCATAGGTTTGGGTCCAATCAGGTGGTTGTACCTGAGTCAGGCCTGCGCCTCTAATAGGGTTTTTTGTCTCATTGCCTTGACATTAGGATGAGAATAGCAAATGTGAATGAACACTTTTATTACGAATGAATTTTTTTCTCAATGTCAAAGGCTTTATTAATAGTCAAAAAAAAGGATATAACTACAAGGAATATTCCAAAGGTACTTTGGAATTTTAATTATGCAGGCTCTTCAAAAATAAAACTTCCTCAAATTAGCGACATTCCAAGGTATGGGAACTCGCTTATGTTCCATACTTTCAATCTCATAAGACCCGTTTCCAATAACCCGAGCTATCTTATAGGGTCCTCCCCAGTTAGTCCCTAGCTTTCCGTGGATTGATTCTTTGGCAAACCCCATGACCCTTCTTAAAACCAAATCCCCAAGCATGAAAGATCTGGAACCGACCTTTTTGTTATATG